AGAATAAAACGAAAAAATGTTGTTAAATGCAAAAATCAAAAATAAATATGAAATGCATGAAAAAGGCATCAAATGCTAAAGAAAGAAAAAAACGTTTAAATAAAAAAAAAGAAAAAGACATTAAATGCAGAAATTGCTGACTAAAAATCTCTTTGCCTCAACCGCCCTAATTTATGCGCTCGTTAGGGAACTGCGTCCAATAGAGGAGGACCTCGTTAAGAACCACTCCAACAGGAGCTGCACCTCAGTGTTTCAGACCCTCACTCACTGCTCTATTCCACCTTTACTTCTGCAAAACCGACCACTAACTTACATCTTAGATACTTAACCCTTTAAAGCCCGATCCAAGAATAAAACAAAAAATGTAATTACTTTTTTTGTGTGTTTCAATTCCTTATTTGGCCTTTTAACAAAATATGTAAAAAGAAAAAACAGAAAAATATTATTGATATTAATAATTTACTACTATGCGATAAATCCAGATCATTTTTTGTGTAGTCTTCTGCCCCCTGTTATCAGGTGTATGTGATTGTGTACAATAGGATTTAGATAAAAGTTTTTATGTAAAACATTTCAGAAACCGTATCAAATATGACACATTTGGCATTACAGGGTTAAGGATTTTATGGTTGTATTTTAATACCATGCTAATTATAGATTATTGTGTAAACCTCCTATTTTCCAGCATAAATTGGAGCTAACTGGTCCAAAAAAAAAAGCCGTTGCCATTTGTACTGAACAGACTTTTAACATGACCCAAACCCTCTTGTATCTCCTTCTACCATGAACCAGTCCGAGTCTGTTTCAGTGTGTGATGAGACTAACTGCCCCCCCCCCTCCCCCCCCAGCCCCGCCGGGTCAGCAGGGAGGTGGTCCGGAGCTCCCTCAAACCCCGGGACCACCAGTACTCCCAGCTGCTGGTGGAGTGGGGCCAGTACATCGACCACGACCTGACCCTCACCCCCCAGAGCGTTGCCGGGGACGACTGCCTCCACACCTGTGAGAACCAGGCCCCCCGCTGCCCCATCCAGGTGAACCCGCCGGGGCCACAGGGGAAGGGTCAGGGGCCGTCCTGAGGGGGCACCGGGAGACTGTGGGAGGAAAAAAGCCCTCACAACGGGAGGGAACCTCAACCAGAACCAGAACCAGAACCAGAACTATCTTCCTGGGCCTGTAGGTTAGGGTTAGGGTTAGCAAGGGGTCAAATACTTATTTCCCCCACTGTACCTACCCATCTACTTACCTACCAACCTACCTACGTACCTACCTACCTACGTATCTATCTATCTATCTATCTATCTATCTATCTATCTATCTATCTAT